AGGCCGCGAGCGGCGGGAGGCCCAGATGCACCGCGGTCCCGCAGCCCGCATCCTCCAGGGCGAGAAAAGCTGCTCCGGGGAGCACGCGGGCAGTGGGACAGCCCAGACATGCCGCGGCTGTCCCGCTGCCAGCGTCCTCCAAGGCTTTGCTCCCCGTCTCCCTGGTCTGCGAGACGCGGAGCAAACCCGGTTCGTAACTGCGGATCCGACATAAGTCGGATCCGCGTAACTCGGGGGCTGCCTGTATGTTCACAAATGTAGAAATATGTTAGAGTTGGACAGGAAATGATTTTCCCACCCCACGAAAATGTTCATATTCTCAGTTTCATCCTAGTGCAGGTCTTTTGACGCTTTGTTTTTTGTTCCCACCTCAAAAAAATCGCCAATAAATTGGTTAGGGTACTCACTTGGGATGTGAGGACCCAGGGTCTACTGGTTGAATCTCTGTAAACTGGGACTCCCTGATCTGGCAATTTCTGTGGTCCGGCAGGTCCACAGACGTTCCAGGGTCAGTGTGCGCTGGTGAAGGGCAGGCAGCTGGGCTCCCCACAGTGGGGGCTTGCCTGTGGCCAGGCTCAGACAGGAGCATGGTGCTCAGGGAGCTGGGCTGCCTGGTGTAGCAGGAAAGCAAGTGAGGGGACCAGCAGGGCAGTGAAGCCAGTGGGACAGAGGGGAGCCAGCCACAAGGCCGGCTGCCGGTCCAGGGTTATAGAGACTGGTAGCAGAGGTGCCAGATAAGACCACCCTGGTTCAGCAAAATCCGTTATTCGGGACTGGTCAGGTCTCAAGGGTGCCGGACCAGGAGGTCCAACCTGTAGTCCCTGTTCTGCCTGATTCACACTTGCATCTGTCTCCAACATCCCAGGTGAATAGATTAATCACTAAACTGTAGCTCTTCTGGAGTGGGTCTTGACCAGTGGCCCTGACCAGAAATTCCATCCTGGATCTGGGAAACCTTTCCTGACGAGTTTCATATTGACAAATTGTACTTTTTTTGAGGCAGCGCTGAGCACCCCCGTCATGGCTAGAGGTACTGTTGGAGTCACTGCCACAGTTTCTCCTTTTAGCTGCTCAGTAACTCCCATAACACCATCCAAAAAGTAATTGAAAATCTTCCTTTCTGGAGTCCAATTTAGTTAATCTCTGCACACATTGGCTCTCCAGGCCCCATTCCCAGTTGTGTCATTCTCTCCCTTTTAAGAAGTCCCCAGCCTTCCTTCCTTGAGAAGGGTCTTGGTTTACCAGCTTTCAATTCTTTACATGGCTGGACCTCAGCCTTGAGGCTTTGATTTCCAAATTCTCCTGGTGTGGCTTAGCTAGAACTGTGAATAACCTAGCACAGTTCCCTAGTTTCAAGGTTTTCCCTGCAGGAGGATTTCACATTCTCTCTGCAGTTTCTGCCGCTTTTGTAATCTGGGTTGACTAATTCCAGATTTTTCAGTCGTTAAAGGGCAAGCCAACCTGTTACAGACCATCTAATGCATTTTTCCTGTTACTGCAGTATTGTGTCCTATTGATGGTTCAATCCTACCATTTAAGTTCAACCCATAGTAAGGGATCTCTCCTTTAGGTCCTTGGTGAATGGTAGGAAAACACTTGTGCCCTTAGCTTTCTATGGTGTGCATCACATTCCTGCCTACTATGCCTCTGTACTGTGATGGATTCAGTCACAAAGCTCCCCTTGAGATTTTCATTTGATTTGCTTGAAATACCACTGACCCACCTTTCAGGGTGTCCTGCCACCCTGTTTTGCTGAGCCAGTCCCTCTAACTCCCGAGCAGTGGCACAGAGACAGGGTTACAGCCCCCCAGCAGAGGAATACAGAAACTGAGATCAGCTCAGCTCTAGGAAGGATCACGCAAAAGGACTTGCCACAACATCCAGGTGCACACCCCCAAAGGGACCAGAACTCCAGATAAATTCCTCTTACTCTGTAAGCTCATAAAATGTTCATCCTCTATCATTGCAAGAGAGAGATTCACAGCTGTTTACCTGCCGGGGTCTTTTTTTTGGGGGGGGGGGGGAACAATTATTTACACTTGGTTTATTAATAAACAAAAGTGATTAAATATAAGCATTTGCTTATTGGATAGTAGACTAGTGGCTTACATCCCTAGGTCCACCCCTGCCAAACTTCATGTCCCTCCTTCAACACGTATGGGAGCTAAAGCATTTCAAAGAAAGTCTCAAGAATTATTTTTGGGGGGGGGGGGGGGGATTTTGCTTCTTGCCTCATTCTTGGAGATGGCTTTAACTCATTTTGGTGGAAAATTCCTCTCCCTTGTCCCCTTCTCTCCCCCCCAATAAAACAAACAAGTGAAAAAACCAAGAACCAGAAAAGCCTGAGACAGATGCATAGGAAATTTTGGCCCAGATGATTGGTTTTGCAAACTGCTGTTTTGGGGGGGGGGGGGGGGATTTTGCTTCTTGCCTCATTCTTGGAGATGGCTTTAACTCATTTTGGTGGAAAATTCCTCTCCCTTGTCCCCTTCTCTCCCCCCCAATAAAACAAACAAGTGAAAAAACCAAGAACCAGAAAAGCCTGAGACAGATGCATAGGAAATTTTGGCCCAGATGATTGGTTTTGCAAACTGCTG